GACCTAATTAACCCTTAAGCCTTACTTACATTAGACATAAGTGACTTTTAAACTATAATTAGGTCTAACGATAATTAGACCTAATTAACCCTTAAGTCTTACTTACGTTAGGCTTAAGTGACCTTAAACTCTAATTAGGCCTAACCTTAATTATACCTAGTTAACCCTTAAGCCTTACTTACATTAGGCTTAAGTGACCTTTAAACTATAATTAGGGCTAACTATAATTAGACCTAATTAACCCCAAAGCCTTACTTACATTAGGCTTAACTGACTTTTAAATGAAAATTAGGCCTAACCATAATTAGACCTAATTAACCCTTAAGCCTTACTTACATTAGGCTTAAGCGACCCTTAAACCATAATTAGGTCTCTAATTAGACCTAATTAACCCTTAAGCCTTACTTACATTAGGCTTAAGTGATCTTTAAACCATAATTAAGTCTAACCCTAGTTAGTGTTGACCTCAATTTTCTTGAGGTCTTTCATTGCTCTTAGTGCTTAGAATCTAGCCGTAGGACTTTCCTTTTGACTATCCTAGAAGACTAGAGATGGAACCCATCTACATAGAAATTCAAACTACTTCCTTGCTCTCTTTGGAACCCACATGGATGATCATGAACCTCCAGCACTTGGAAGGTTGAGACCAACATGTGAGATTTCAAGGATGAGTCCCCACAGGACTGTTGAACTTAGGGCAACCCTAGGTGAATAGGGTTTGGTCTTTCACACATTTAAGCACATCACACTTCTGCACTTGTCCTAGTACCTTGAAACTACACCCATTCAACTTATTTCCTTTTACTCTTTTGAAAACTCACATTGGTGGTCCCCAAGTCATTGGTGGTCCCCTAGTTCTTAGCCCTTTGGCTAGGGTGGCTAGGACCCACACATGAAGAGTCTAAAATGAGCTCCCCTTGGTCTCATAGCTCAAATAAGGTAACCTTGTGAATGGCATATCCAATGGCCTTCAAATCCACCTAAACACCCAATCTTGTCCTTCTAACCCTTAAATTTTCCAAAATTACCAATATACTCCTAGAACCCTAAAACTCCAAAAGTGACTGAAATCCTCAAATTTTCTTCAAAAATGATATTTAACCACTTCAAACCATCCAAATTGACCAAAACACCACCATTTCCCAAAAAATTTCCAAAATACCCCTCATGTCCAAAAAAATCCCAAAACCTCCTCTAAACCAAGCCTAGCCACCCAATGGCCCCAATTTGATCAAATTGACCAATTTTGACCAAAATCCCAATTTTACTCCTAAAGGCCTAATTTCCACCAAATTCACTTCAAACTCACCCAATTTCAAACTTGAATTGAACATCAACTTGTCCAACCTCAATCTACACCAATTTGGAGCCCAATTGAACCAACCTCCAAACCCTAAATTCAATTTTGGGCCAAAATCCCCAATTTGACCATATATCCAAATTTCATCAAATTCAACCCCATAGCCAATCCAATTCCCTCAATTTGAATCCGAAATTTTTCATAACATTCTCCTAGATGAATTCAAGCATTCAATTGGTCTAGGCCCAAACCCTAACCTAACCTAAATCCAAGTCCAAACCAATTGCCCCAAAATTGACCCTAAGCCAAAATTTCATTAAATTGATTCCTTCAATCAATTCAATTTTCCCAATTTCATTTCCTGAATTCTTCATGACATCCCCCTAGACCAATTAGACCCTTCAATAAATTTTTAAACCAAGCCCAAATCAATCCCAAATCCAACTTTTAGCCCAAACATTAATTTTGAGCTTAAAATCTAAATTAATCCAAACATTTGAAATTGACCAAGCTTAACTATCTCCTTCTTTGATTAGCCTTCTAAGATGCTAATCACATCGACCAAGGACCCAATTTTGAGTCATGGACCAAGGGTCCCTTGAATTATGCAAACCCATCTCTTAATTTGGCTAAGCTCTCTACCCCATGCCATCAACCATCAAACCTCAAAGTTAATCACCATTAACCTTCCCTAAACCAACTAGCCACCTCCTCTGGCCTGGTCGGCCGGCCTAGTCTCTGAAAAATCCAAAAACGAGAAGGACATGCTTGGCTCAAACCCAAATTTCTACCCATCTAATGTGGCTCACCCCCATTGGTGAATTGTGTCGCTCAGCCCTCCACCTAAGCTTCCTTCTCCATCCTCTGGCTTGGCCAATTAAGCTCTAATTCCTCCTATATTTAAACCACCCCTCTCTTGGCTTTGAGGAGGGTGCTACCAATTCCTTAGGAAGACTTCTCCAAATTGCTCTCAAAGCTTCCTCCATCCTTTCTGAGTTCAACCCCGCCACTTTCAGCCACTCAAATCCACTGTCCAAGCCTAATTTAATCAACCAAATCCAGGGCTTTTTCTGTCACCCCACCAAATTCCACTTAACTTTAAATTAATTGTTTCAAAAGTGTCCCCAGACCAAACGAGGAAGTTCCCCATTGAAACCCCCTCACTGTGAGCACTCTAACCCACTACTAGACCAAACCTGAATCACCCCTTAATCGAACTCTTGCCTGGGTTCAACCTCAACTCAAATTGGTGCTTGGAGGAGCTTTGTTAGGTCACAATAAATGTCTACAAGCAACCAAATCGAGGCCTCACCACTTAGGCAAAGGCATATCTCACCAACCCTAAAATCGTGCTCGGTTTCACCAATTGTGAAGTGAACTTAATTTTCATATGCAATTAACCATATAGAGGTGTTTGTCTCGATTATATGAAGCTATGGGAACAAACCATGAGTGATTTGGTTGTGCATCAAGTGAGATCGAAGCATTTTAGTGTGAATGGTTCTTAGTTTAGGTTAGATGGGGACGATGAACGGATGTCATTCATTTGCGCGTGTATCCATTGGATGGCGGAGGAAGAGTCACACGAGGAGACAGAACATAAAGCGCAGGCCGAGTCAGCGCTGAAGCAGAAGGCGGCGTCGAATGGGAGCACACCGCTTGGAGCTTCGGAGCC